GTCAGAAGTGTCTTTAAATTTGGTTACCTGATCATTTACGAAAGCTGGGATCGAGTCATCCGAGTATGGGTGCACCCAGCAGGCGGAGGGTGTCCTTTGCGACGATATTAATATTGGGAGCTAAAATATTGAAAATAATATACGCTCTCTGGATCTTATTCTTGTCTATAAATAATTCGCATTTACAAAATTTGAGCTCCAGGTCGATTGAATGAAATTACCTTATAAGAATTTGTAGGTCATCAAGAACAGTCTCAACAACACCGCCTAAAGTCCCGTCATCAAGGTACCATAACTTATGAATAGATATTTTATCAATTCATCCATTTTGCTTAAAATAACTTTTATAGTGACCGAACCAAAGCATATTGTAATGCTCCCTTACAACATTTCTGTTTGTCTGCAACCTGGTCCCCAAGTCTGCTAATTTTAAATCATGTTAGTTGTGTGTCGACAGTGTCAATGGCAGTATTTTGTACGTTTGGTATTCTTTGAGCATCGAGCTATTATTCAACTGCCATTACAATTTTTTAGTATTCTACTCTTCAATGGTGAGTCAATGGCACATCGATGACGTAGCCTACTAATAATTTGACATAAAAAAATGCATTTAATTTGAAGATTAAGCTTAAACGAGATAAAATTTTAATTATACATAATAATTTTTACGGATCGATGTTGTATTTCTAAAAGTAGTAAGTTTTTTTTCTGTCGATCGAGTGTACATCGATCGTTAGTGATTCAATGAATTAATACCATAACTTCCATTGCACTGACACTCTATGGGTCGTATTGCAGAACTCTACTCAATGCACACTCAGGACTTGAGCATGATTTAAAGCACTACAAATCATATTCAAGTTCTTGCCATTAGGGTCGTATTTCCAGTGCTTGAAATCATACTCAAGTCCTGACTTGAGCACTGAGTAGAGTTCTGAGATACGACCCTAAAACTGCCATTACAACTAGATTTTAGCTGAATAACAAATATTGTCATATTTGCAATATAATTAAGTAGTAGTAGAAGCTCCTTGTGAAAGAGTTCTTCTAGGTAAGTACTGCCACCTCACCTATTTCTGCCGCCACGCAGTAACGTGAGCTTTAATGCGTTCCAGCTTTAAAGGCTAAGAGTGCTAGTGAAATTACACGCACATAAGACTTGTCAACTTGTGTCTCAGCAGCCGGGTAAACTAAGGAAGCAATATACCTTCCCCCGCCGTAGCGTGTCTTGGGGACTAGGGACGGGGGACCCCTACCCCCAAGCTTGAGCGAAGGTGTCCCTATATTTACCCCCGGGTAGGTTAGGTAGGAACCGAATCCTTGGACGCCTCTTTATGTCGGTGAGCTTAACCGCTGGGTTTTATGGGGTATACTGAGCTACCGTTCGGGAGTCCCACATAACCGCTCGTTGCTCCCCAAAGCCAAGCTGTGTGCCCGTCAGAACTTTGCAATTAAAGGCGGTTCACCGAAGTAAAAGCGGGAAGATCTGTTTTACTAGATCAAATGGTTTAGGTATATATTTAATAACAATATTACAAAAAATATATGATATTGTGTAAGAATGTGCTAATTGTGTAAATGTGTTACTTGATAAAATGTACATTTTTCGAAAACAGGATTTTACCGCATAATCCAGAAAAGTACATTGTCCAATTCTCATAAAATTCTGAAAGACGTCTAAAACGAATTATTTAAGAACAAATATCTAACTTTGTACATAATAATTTTTATATGAAATTATTTCTCTTAAACACTAGAAGTATAAATATAACTGTACTGATAAATTTTGGTTTTCAACTGAAGCCTATAGTTATTAAATTCACATTTGTCCCAAAATTTGAAAATTGCCCAGCAGTTTAACGACGCACCGCGCCGCCCGCTGTCCAGTTAGTCGCCATCGGGCGCTTGTCGACGTCGGATTTGTCCCAAATTTTCTCCACCTGTTCGTATTTTATTCATAATAATTGTCAGCGTGTGGGCGCGAGAGGCGGTCCTCAACACCACACCTCGTATATACCTCGCCCTAAAGGTCTGAGTGACACTGTAACAGTTATGGACAGTCGTATCGCTTAACACCACGCGCACGACTTATTCGTCTCTTCACTTGAAAAAACAAAGTAAAAAAAAAATCGGAAGTGTCAATGGAATTACAATGATCAGTGGTTTCAAAAAATTTACAGAGTGGGACCATGTTTTTTAACGCTTTTTCAATAGGTACATTATATTAATGGCCAATTCCCAAAGACGTAATTGCTCTGAGTCACCACGGCCTTTCCTGCCAATTGAGCGCCGGCCGTATCTCCCGGTATGCAGCCCTCAACGTCATCATCCGCCGGGTCTTGGCCACAGTTAACGTGCACGCTCGAACGCCACATCGCGAACTGATGACAAACGCCCTGACGGAACGACACTCATCCCATTGGAGTATGGGCCGGGCATTGATGTGAGACGCCACGTGTGTCGACGCACTTGCCTCTCCAGCACACCAGCAAGAGGGCTGGGTCCGTAGCTGAACTGGAGGAAAAACTAAAGAGTTAACAATTTTTTCTAAGTGTTCGATCTTTGTTTAATAATTATAACAAGCTAGTGAAGTGTGAAATTACACAAAAAACAATTAGCTATCATGGTAGTGAAACATCCTAACATTCAATTAAACTAAAGAGTAAAGTTATAAGTACCAGGATCTCGGCTTCAAATATCTACTTGCACCTTTGGAGTCGAAACCCTTGGCCCGAGGAGTCCTGGTGCCCTTCATCTTTACAAAATTTTATTTAAAAAAATTATAGACAGCCTGGGAATCCCAAAAGCCGCTACCTGGCACAACGTATTAGCATAGCAATACAAAGGGGGCACGTTACCAGCATCTAGGACACTTTGCCGAGGGGGACCCGATTTTATTTATCTAATTTAATCGTAGTTTTGGCTTTTAAAACATCTTTGTTAATATTTATAATAAATTCACGAAATGAAGTACAAAAAGGCGGTACAAAAAGATCTTAACGCAGACCAAATATATACTTTTTTATTCCGTGCTTCTTAAGAAGCAAAAAACAAGTTTGACGTCTTAATCTCAAGATCACCATAGAGTTGGAATATTAGTTATTTCATACTTCCAAAGGAACGTGTTAACATGGATAGACCAATATAACGTGGTTGCTGTTATGACCATGCTATATTTTCAGGCAAATTTTGGACAGCAGCCAAACACCTTGACCTCTAGGGTATCTTGAATATCTATAGGCGTGAGTTACGGCACTGCGACAGGTTCGGGAAGTATACGTCGACTTATCTTAATCGAGGGCTTATATGCTTAGGAGTAAGTGATTCTTAACACCCGGTGGGACAAAATGCTACTTGAGATTCGAGTGTTACGTTAATGCCCTATTACATTTATCTTGTATCTGTGTTGAAGTCAGTATTAGAGATTATCAAGATATTTGTTTTCTTTTAAAATTATCGTGATAATTATCCAGGCTGATTCACAGTTTTGTCTCTTGAATTTTTTACTTAAAATGACAAATAGTGAGAAAGCTAAATAAAAAGTAGCATTTTGTTGTTCCAATTATTTTTTTTAAATATAAAAAGAATAATTAAGGTGTGAATTATTGTGATAATTATCAATGATAAATTTTCACTTTGAACCTTGGTTAAAATTATATATTTAAAACATTAAAGCAGATTTCGTCATTTGTATATGAGACATTTGTGATAGATAAGACACTAAAATCTCTATTTAGAAAATGGAAAACATTAACAGTAGTCTTTCCTTCGCAGTGTAAGAAATTGTTTTAAAAGAAGATTTAATACCTTTCTTCAATACTGGCACTATGAGGACGAAAATAAATTTTATTGTAATAGTCATAATTTTTTTCGTTTTTGTTCTTCGTTTTGCTTTACAGCTTGCTAAACGTTTTGACCACAACACAACAGGTATGTTTAAAATATCACATTAAATCTATTTGAATAAATATTTCTTGCTTCAGACTGTATTACCTTCGAACGGTCTAAAACAGTCTCACACGTTTTGGGGAGCTGTTTATTTTTGTGTCGTGCAAATGGAATCATGGCAAATGTCTTGGGTGATATACAGGAATAAATTATGATAAACAACTATGAGGAAACTTTCTCGCACTAGCTACTTATTCTCGTCCTTAACATTTACTTCGGCCTGACCAGAGACAAAACCCGGTTATACAATATAAATTCTGGGAAAGTGTTCATCGTACGAAGTCGTATACTATTTTTATTACGTTATTTACCTTGAAAGACAACAAGTTGTAACATACCTGCGGAATAGCCTAGGAAAACTGTGAATCAAGTATCATAGCAGCCATTGTTGGAATAAAAACTGATTCCTTATTGTTAAGAGTCATATAAGTGACACAACATACATAAAAACAAGTGTGATGCGATTAAACATTTAAACAGATGCAACGCGAAAAAGCATCAGTATTGTAAAAAC